TCGACAATCTAGCTGACACAATTGCCTTGCAGTGGATTCCTGCTCATTGTGTCATGGAGGGAAATAAAATGAAAGAGCCAGCAAAGAAAGGAACTACTATTCAACAAACCAATTGATAGTCATATGACTTTCAGCACGACTTCCAATTAAATTAGAATTTAAGAGGAGGTTTCCCTCCTACCTGTCAAATGGGGGTAAGAGGAAAGTCTAAGAATGTCTGGCTTGTTCAAAGCCAGTTATTCCAGATTTTACCCGTCCTGTAGCCCTATTCCGTTTTTTGACTGGGCACGATTGTTTGAATGCCCATCTTTTTAAAATTCGACTTGAGGACTTTTCAGTCTGTAATCTTCATAATTCTGGACAGTCCATGGATAAGGAGCATACTGATGAATGCATTGCACTGTTATCTTTTTAATGTTATTGTTCTTAGGTATTGGGAAGAAAAATCAAGACTAATGGCTTAGTGGCCAAATGTCTGTATTTGCATAAATAAATAATAACAGCCATTACATATTCAAAGTTTGAGAAGGACTTCTAGCATAAATGTTCTTGGTGGATGATGCAATCGAAACCCAACATAGTAGTACTATTCCTATCGGTACAGGTCAGTTCGACGCCAACGTTTCGACGCCAACGTTTCAACGCCAACGTTTCGACGCCAACGGTTCGACGCCAGCGTTTCGACGCGTGGTCAGTTCTACACGAGGTCGTTTCGACGCGGGGTCAGTTCGACGCCATACTTTTTTTGCTTTTGTTTGACGCCATACTTTTCGTATTTTATTTATTTTTAGAATAAGTTTGCATCATCATTCAAATAAATTTGGTGTCATCATCATTTGGTGTTTCACACCCCACATTATGGGAATTCATAGATGGTCTTAGGCGTGTTCAAAAATCAATTGATCAATGTTATGAACAATTTGTACGTGGAGATGAACCGCCGCCCAAGCGGAATAGGTATCTGCGAGCTGATATGAGAATTAAAGTAATAGTTGAAGATTTTGAAAATCGAGAAATAATGGAATACCTGAAAGGTGTGGCGCATAATATGGATTAATATAATAACAGTACTGTGATGTAATCTTATTTATCTCTAATCTTATTTATGTGTAATCTTATTTATCTGTAATTATATTTCTCTGCAATATAATATAAGTACTTTGTAACTATATGTTTATTTACCATTTTTCTATTTTGCCTTTTTGATGCTGTTTTGTGAAATAAATAAATAAAATAAAAAAAAAAACCCTCATGTCCCGGGGCCTTGACGTTGGCGAGGGGGCTTCTCACTAATCTGTGACACAAATAAAAATCTAAAACACTTTTACACATATACACACATATATTTATTTCAAATATGCATGCAAACAATCGCTAATTCAATAAATAAAAATCAGTCATATTACTTATTAAAACTATTGACTATTATTAACTGATTTTTACTAAGTCATATTACTTAATAAAACTCAGTCATATTACTTCATATTTATTCTAAAAATAAATAAAAATACGAAAAAAATATGGCGTCGAAACGTACGGCGTCGAACTGCCCCGGAGTCGAACCGTAGGCGTTGAAACGACCTGCTTCGATTCCTATAGTTAACATACCATAGTTTGAGAAACTCAGCTTTGGAAAAATAAACTATCCTTTAGCGAAATATCTAAAATCTCAAACCATTCACTCAAAGATTATGATACGAAATTCTAACTTACATACTTAGGAAATTTAATTTTCGTAACTCCCTCTGACTGACAGACTTATTTTCCTATTGCAGTTACGATACATATTATAACGCTTTGAGTACTTTCTGGATGGTATGAGAAATATTGCGATTCAGTAAACCGGCTAAAAATTCCGTTATAAAACTTTCCCCAATGACATTTGGTTTCTTACGGTCTTGTTCGAAAATTGAATCTAGATTATATCTGAAACTCCTTCTTAAAAATCAAACCCTAGGGATTTTGACGAAATAGATTCTATTTCATGGAAGCTTTTTCTCATTTGCATCGAAAGCACCTTCTGCCTTTCAGATATCGGAAAACTTTCTATCACAACTACAATACGTAATGTTCTTGATTAAATATTCTAATCAGCATACAAATTGTATTCAAAAACATGTAATGAAAGTATTATAATATAAACATGTAACTAATGTAATAAACGGAAGCAAATGTATTTCATTTGATGATATATATGTGAAACTCCTTCAATGACTTTTGTAAGTGCTTTATACCGAAAATTTACTGAAAATAAAATTAGATTTGAGATATTCTTATATTATTCTGCAAGACATTCGAAGAAACGTTTTATGTTTATTTTGTTATCCTTCTCAACACTTACCAAGATTCGTTTCATTTAAGCGTTGATCTCTTTGCAAGCATTATTCACACAAGTTTAAAATTTTTCCCAAAGTATATTTGAAAACTCTAGCCTTTTTTAATACGTCAGTTTGTTACTTGCTTTAAGTATTTTTTTTAAAAAAATTTTATGTAGTATCTAAGTATTTTCTAAATATGAAATTATTTTTAAATATATATTATTTTAAAAATCGTGAATTAGTTCTTTTTGTTTCTTATTGGTTTATATGGATTATGTATAGTTCTTTTATAGTTTCTTTTTATTGATATGCATATTCGTGTAGGGGAAGTTTCTGTAGACAAGGATTTCTAAAATACATTGGTTTCTAGATTTTTTTTTTATTATTTTATAAAAAATTAATTTTTAAAAAATTTAATTTTTTAAGAAAAAGTTTAATTCTTGACTTTACTTGCTTGTTTCTCAAAAGACTTAATTAGTATTTTCCTTTTTGAACTTTAATTCTTAAATGTTAATACTTAAATGTTAATTTCTAAGAGTACCACTTTATTGGAATTACTTTTGGTTTTGACTTTTACCCTTGCCTGCATGAATGACGAAACATGAATTGAATGGTTGAAGAGTTAGGTTTGGAGGCAACTTCCCCTTGATAAGTCTGTCTCCTGCCTACTCTACGATCATTCACATATGCATTTTTAAAAATATTGTTTAACTTAATTTTAATTTATTAAATTAGTAGATTTATTTTCATGGATAGATTTTACACTGCTTATGCTTCTGAATTTAAATGATATTGTAGATTAGTTCGAGAATTAAATCTTTTACATGTTTGCATATTTTAAAATTATTTTGGCTTTTTTCCTTTTTTTTAGAATTTAAATTTGCTTTTCTACTTTTTTACTTTTATACGTATTAGTTTAGAATTTAAATTTGTTTAAATAAATATCTAAAGTATTTACTTCTCTCGTTGTTAATTACCTCCCTCCCCCGAAAAAAAAAACAATATAAAAAAGTAAGAATCATTTCCTGAAAATTACAATTTAACAAATCAAATTAACATGAAAACGATAATTTCTTTTGAAAAGGAAATAACATAACAAAACTGCAATCATCAACAAATGATGACACACAGAAAATAAAACAATGCTGATACTAATGGGGAAACAACTTTTATTACAATAAATATTTAGAATTATTTACTCTTTCCGAGAACTTTAACATATTTTAAATTCATATATCAACTTATATTCTTGTAAACAATGTTTTTTTTTTTTTTTTTTTTTTTTTTTTTTTTAGAAAACTTGTTCCCGTAGCAACCGTTTGAAATTAAATTACGATAATGATATTTTGGTTTAGTTAAATTTTAAAAACGAATTTTTAAATAAGCGCAAATTAAAATTTATTGTTTGTAATATTACTGTTAGATAAAATTATTAATACTTAAATAGTTTTACGCTTCTTAATATATTTGTACTCCCACACAACTTCTAGGTTGTTGGAAATGCATATAAACATAATAAAATAAATATATCAGATATATTAGAGAATAATTGAGAGCCAAGGAAAACTTCACATTTTTTTCTCATCTGATTCGCACTATAAAAAACAAACGAACTCTCAGACCTTATGTACCTTTTTCGCGAACACCTAATGTACATGAAACTAATCATTTCTGCCGGATCTTATACTCTGAGCAGTTATATTTACAGCTGCCAAAAAATGTTTGTTAGATCGGCTATCTCTTTATATATAGAAGAAAGTCTGTGTGTTTGTTTGTTAGCTAAAAGCGCAGTCACTACTATAGCTATCGTCACCAAACATTCCACAATTATTTTATGGGTCCTGGAAAAGATCGACGTTCACTTTTTCTCCAAAAAAAGTATCTTAAATCAGAGATATTAATTAAAAATTCGATAAAAAGATAATTTTGATCCTCATTTTTCTGTGTGGCAACAGTCTCGCAAGCTGGAGATGAAAATCTGTTTTATTTCAAAAGTTGTTGCCACTGCTCGTTTTCAAATTTTTTTCAGTTTGGTAATAAAAATTTTCTAAGTTTTACGATGAAATAAAAATAGCACTGCTAAACTTGAAGTACATTTCCGATTCTAAAAATTCGTCGGAAGCCATTTCGGCGATTCCTATCTTCGTACGACTTTAGTCAGCCGAAATATTAATTAAAAACTCTGAAAGCGCTGATTTTCGCACACATTTTTCCGAGTGGCAACAGTCTCAGGCGTTGGAGATAAAAATGCTGTATTTCAAAAAGTGTTGCCACTGCTCGCTTTCAAATCGTGGATTTTGTTAATAAAAAATTTGTAACTTTTACAAAATCTATACATATAAAGAAGAATTTGCGTGTTTGTTTGGGTGTTCGCGTTATTATTGATTTTTGATCAATTATGATCCATTTTTTTGCCACATTTAACCAACTAAAATTGAATATAGTTGAAATATTGGATGGAATTTTAGCTTTTACGACCATCTGATCAGAAATACGAAAATCATTAAAACCTGCGTTCTCTCTGTTGTTAGACATATTGCTCTCAATATAACTTAACTGGCATCGGATATTTCCGCTACTTTTATATAAACCTTTGGAAGAAATGCTTACGATCATTTTGAAATGTGAAAGAACACAGCAGAGACGAACTTAAGGAAACTGCTGAACAATTTAAATTAAAAGTTTCACATAATAATATTACATCATCCGCACATTAAAAATGGAATATTTCTGGAGAGAGGAAATGTCTTACCCAGCAGAGGAATGGATTCTGATGTCTCCGGCATTTTCTCAGCTATTGCCAACATGAAGACAGAAAATGCCAGTAGGACCGTCACTCCCAAAGCTATCTTCTCTCCTGAATCTGGTGGTAGGCAGAACACGAGCAACGTGAGAACTGACATCATCATGCAAGGCATTACCACGTTGTACATGTAGTAAAGAGTCTTCCGTCGGATCACCAACGTGATGGTGACGTCGGGGAAGGGCTCCCTGCAACAGGAGTAGTAGACCACGTTCCGGACTATCCGGGCGTCCAGCAGTTCCCACTCACCGTTAGGCACATAGTTGGACAGGTCTACTTCAGACGTCCTATAGAAGCAAGTAATATGTTAAAAAAGCATTTTCCTGAAAGATAAAGTATTCAAATGGTACTGAAATTTAACAAAACTGGAAGGTGAATCTTTACATTATGGTAACTTGGCGACCAACCCTGCTACAGCAACCTGCTAGTTTTGCCGAACTACGCTTATACTAGAACTTTTATGGAACAAAAATGCTTAATCATGACAAAGATTAGGTGCGAAATTGGGAGAAAGTGCAGAATCGCAAACTGCTTGCCGCGTTTTTAAGAATTGCACATACGCGATATCCATGTACACGTCGACCTATTTTCACTTAAAAAACATCCCAGAATTGCACAAAAATGGCATTGCGCACACTCTTGACTTTATCTACAAGGTTGTTCAATAAGTTCGCGGAACGGAAATGAAGAAACCAATTTTTATTTGTAAAAATGATGTTTATTTTTCAACGTAGTTTCCCTCAACTTCAATACACTTATTCCAACGGTCTTCTAATTTATATGGATCCCTTGACTGTAGTGGTTTTTCGGCAGCTCTGCAAAATATCCCTCCACGGCACCTATTACCTCTTCGTTTGAAGAAAATCGTTTTCTATGGAGATATTTTTTGAGGTGTGGGAAGAGCCAGATGTCGGAGGGAGCTAAATCTGGCGAATAGGCTGGATGTTGCAACAATCCGTACTTCAATTCAGTTATTTTCGCAATGGTTGTTTTAGCTGTGTGCGCAGGTGCGTTATCTTGGTGGAAAATGATTTTCTTCTACTGTAATCCGGGTCTTCTTTTACGAAGTTTTTCATCTAATTGATTCAAAAGGTTACAATAATAATCCGAATTAATTGTTTTGCCAGTTTGAAGGTAATTTATAAACAAAATTCCTTTCGCATCCCAAAAAACTGATGCTAACAAATTCTTGGCTGATTTTTGCACATGAACTCGCTTCGGCGCCGAAGAGCCGGGTTCACACCACTCCTTAGCCTCCTGTTTTGATTCAGGATCATGATGGTAGACCATTGTGATAAATCGACGGATAAAGTCGCTTTTATTCTTTTTAAAACGCTCCAAATGTTGCTGTCAAAGTCGCATCCGAATGTGTTTTTGCTCCATCGTTAGAGAATGCGGCACCCATTTTGCACAGTTTTGGAAACCCAAATTAACACTCCAAATATTGCTCACTGTGCCCAATTAAATGCCTAAGGCCTCTGTTAAATATCTTTCAGTCAATCGACGGTCTTCCAATACCATAACATTTTTTTTCCGATGATTTCCGGTGTTGATGCAGTTTTTGGACGTCCCTCTCGCGGATCGTCTTCAAAGCTGGTACGACCACTTTTGAATAAACTAGCCCACTTGCAAAACATTGTTTTTGAAGGAGCAGATTCACCCAACACATTCACCATTTCGGTATGAATTTCCATTGCCTTTAAACCTTTCTTTACAAAGAATTTGATAACTGCACGTTGCTCAATTTTATCCATACCAGAAAAAAGCCACAACACGTTAGATATAAAGGGCGGTTAAATAAACTAACAGATCGAAATGAAACTTTTGACGTGTTCCTAAGAAAGAACAAATATGAAAATCGTCGAAGTTTTAGGTCTAATATTGACGAATAGATGGCGCTCCGCGAACTTATTGAACAACTTTGTATGTACACATCGACCTAGTTTCACTTAAAAAGTCAAAGAAAATTGACAAAAATCCAATTCTTCTTACTCTTGTAAAAGGCACCAAACAAATAAGTGGGCGGTTGTACACTTTAGCAGCGAAATTCTTTCTAAGTGCTTATTAGCTAAAATCACGATCGGAATTTTTCCGGAAAATGTCGCGTTACATGTCTCATAATCCCTCATTTCTCTGAGACAAAATAATCTGTGATTCGAACTGTGTACTTTTCAGATTATTGCTGAAGTCCTAGCTAGTAACCTTCATCGCCATACCAAAATGTCGCCAAACTACCTGGTTACCATATTCTCAAGATTAGCCAACTGGAAATAGGCTGCTCGTTTAACCTAGTACCTACCTGTTCATGACGTCCACTTGCAGGCCGTCATAAATCCAAGACCCCATCTTCATGATGCACGTCTGATCATCGAAAGGGAAGTAGGTAACGTCCACTGGACAGGTGCTTCGCAGTTTAGTGGGCGGTGGCCAGAACACGTTGCCACTTGGCTCCAACATCGCTCGGGAGTTCATGTAGCCACGGGTATAGTCATCAGCACTGTATAAAAACAAAACATGAATCGCTTTATGAGAAATATTCATTTTCATAATCATCGCTGGTATTACTTTGTGACGTATACCAGAAAAAGCAAATTTTCAGAAGGTAAATAAAAGACGTTTGCAAGCGTTTGTCTCTGTTAGTAAGACGAAAACAATCACTACGTGGACGATTTCCTTTTAAAATTTTGGAGGAGGGGCTCGATTTCTGATTGAAGAAGAGAATATATTGGAAAATTTTCAGAACCTGGGGTACTTACGTACTAACGCAAACAGGCCAAAATTCCCATAAATCGCCAAATTTGGAAACCCTACTTACGGCAACCCTACGTGTTATACCTAGGTTGGTTACTGTACCTAACAGAAGCGCCGTTACCCTCATGGAAAAAATTTGCGAAAATATCAAGGAAGGAAGCATCATTTATTCGGATTGCTGGAAAGGATACAAAACAAGTGAGTTCGAAAATGCTGGATTTCTGCATGGAACTGTTAATCACAAATATAAGTTTGTAGATCCCAACGCGGGCGTTCACACACAACATGTAGAGCGCATGTGGGGCTCATCCAAATGGCGCAACAAAAAACAGAGAGGAACAGGCCGTCATCATCATGACTCATACCTTATCGAATTTATATGGCGCCAAGCTCAAGCTGTTAATGGCGAAGACGGTTTTCATTCAGTGCTAAAAGCAATAGCCAAAAGATTTCCGCCGAAAAAATAATTCTGCAACTTATTCAATTCGAAACCGGAAAGGTGTAATTGCTATTTTATATTTTAAAACAATATAATATAAAAAAACTGTATTAAAAATCATCTGTAATTAATAAATGTACATTTTCTTTCTATTCATGCTTTTTTACTCAAACTTACAAATCGCGTCAACCTGGTTGCGATAATACGTAAGTACCGAACCGGGCGTTAAGAAAATGGCAGAAACATGCGCTAGGGATTATTCCTTTCAACATCAATATAAAAAATTGAAAAATCTATTATTAATTAAAAAGACGTACATTTTCTTTTATTTCTTAGCTAAATTTTGATCATTTACTTCAAAGTATGATTTTTTTGAGACTTTAAATGGTTTTTGATATCTACCTTTCTTTAGAAGTGTTTTAAAAATCCACGTTTCTTTCATCACCACATCATTTTTAATTCCACATCATTTTTAATCCTCAAATCCATTCATCCACATCATTTTTAATTCCTTAAAAACAACGTTTTAACACGTCATGCAGTATCGTAACTTTTCCTCGAAACTCGGCATAATCTTTTCTTCATTATTATCTTCTTAGTCCGTACTTTTTATACACATAATTAATCAGTAAACCCCTGAAAACTAACAGGAATAAACTAATAAACTAAATAATAGACATAAACTAAATGGAATCATCGGTGAAATAGTAACATTCGGAAATGACCCTATGTGAATTACCTTGTATGTTAGCCTACCACTGTTTTTCATCGTTCTAGATAAAAGAAGAATTTAAGTAATCCGAAAGCTTACAACGTCATGCAGTTCGCATTTGTGCCTAGAGTCACGTAAAATTTCGATATTTTTTCCTAATCCTTTACCTACGATTTTGATTCTATTGGAAGCTAATAAATAATGTTAGATTTTACTTTGAGTTCATTTAACGCATTAAGATTTCTCGTTATTCTATGGAGGGTGCTCTCACATTTTTTAGACCACTTTGCTTTGCTATAAAAAGTTCTAATGTGTACATCACATGACTTCCTTGTACGGAATATTAAATTATAAGTATTTTTTCTTGCATTTCATTTAAACGTACTGAATTGAATTAAATATACTTTGTCGATAGCGCATAAACCACAATAGAATAAATGCACTCTTTAAAATTCACTGTATTTGTTTACCATAGCGACACTCTGGCGCTAGGTTCACTTAACAGCGTTATATTTCGTTCATATTATAACTCAAAATGCACAAAATTTATATCATTTGAAGAATTATCTAATCGTTGCCACATGTTCTATTCAAATAGTCTAATATATATAGAACGCTGTACAAAAGAAATTAAGCAAAGAAAACAAAAAATAATTTTTCACAGACGATATACTATATCTCATTCAATTAATTCAGTTCTCACTTCGCGACAAGGCAAATACATAAAAACTCAAAATATCTGTATTAAAAATTACGAAGTAATTCTTAAACACTTATTTCCTCGAAAAAATTCCAGAAACAATTAAGCATGATTTAATTCGCAATAGTAAATAAAGGCGTTATCTTTGTTGTTGCGAAGCTAAGTTTCTCTACATTGGTAACAAATCCACTAGTCTGCTGTTTCAAATGTAAAAAATCAATGGCCGCCATAAAAAAAAAAGGTTTAGCGGCACTTAAACAACTTTAAAATTGTTGATAATTCTAGAAATATTCCATACGGATTTACTGAAGGCATAAAAACCTTAACCGGATGATAAAAACAACACAATTCAATCATTTTTAAAGCAAAAAATGCACAATTTACAAACATATAAGGGTAAAGAAACTGAGATCACTGAGCCGGGTAACAGAGAGGATATATATATAAATATATTTATATACGTTTGGTGCGACCGATTGCAACCAAAATACGAGGTGCACATCTACATGTTATAGCAGTCCTATATTTAAATATTCAACGATCTGAGGCTACTCGTTTTTGAGTTATGAAAGGTACGTTCGTACATACGTTCGTACAGACGCCACGAAAAATTCTCTTCAGAGTTAATTTTAAAGCAGTTTTATAATTTTTTTTGGAGGAAAAGAGTGTTTTATTCTGTCCTTACATACAGATATCACGGAAATACATCGTTAAATTGCATTTGAAAGAGGTCAAAATGGGATATTTTCGTTGAAATATGCTGTGTGAAACTTTTCGCGATTACAATACTTCCTTTTTACTTCGTACAAGGAAGTAAAAATCGTCTGCTTGGAAAATCTTTCTTTTTAACGGCAACTGTATTTTTGAAAGCGTAAATTATTGTCTGCTGTTTGACAATTTTGTTTTCATGCAAAATGGCGCTTTTTAAAGAAGCAATGGACGGAAAGCTGTATTTGGGTTCTTTCCGAAGAAAGTTATTCATGTATAATTATTAAAAAACGCCGTGAAAGCTATGGCTTTTCGATCTCTAAAATTACGATAGGTAATATTGTCACTAAGAAAGGAAAAGGAAGCCAGATTTGGTTCAAGAGGAAAAATTGTTCCAAATACATATATCCAAGGGAAAAACGTAATGTTTCGAATAATGAAAAAATAAGAATTTTAATGCCAAAAGAAAATCCGCAAAGAACAGTTGAGTAATCATTAAAATGCTTAGGGTCAAAGTAAACTGTTTCATGCTGATTTGAATCTTAAAAAGGCGAAAAAAACGAAACGTGCATCGTCCTTCTCCACGACATATCGCCGAAAGCAGAACAAGTTGCAGAATTCTTTATGCGATACAGTTTTCCGGAAAAAAATGGGTTATGGGTTATTCAATTATGGCAAAGGCTCGAGGGCTATCTGCCTAAGAGGAGGGATGCCTTCGTGGAGGAGTTTCTAAGGGACACATGGGGAAAACCACGAAAACGCCCATGCAGCCAGCCCGTTCGCGAGATTCGAACCTCGGACCGAACTACCAGTGTTCAGCGATTTTGCCGCTCTGCCGCTGGTGGGCCTCAACTGCGTATGAATTTAGAAAATATATCAATGAAATAACACAACAGACCATTAAGAATTGCCTTGCCTTGAGTTTTGCTTTAAATACATAACTCAGAAATTTTATTAAAGTACGGTAATCGAAATTTCTTTTATTTATCGAGTTTAAATAAATTTTTCTTAACTGAATGCCTCAAGGTATATCCAATTTTCGAAAAGATTAAGTCACACCTCTCTAATCCTGATGATTAATGGCCGATACGTATTTAAACCGAGCGCATTTAAAAATGTTGCTTAAAGTATTAAGGGGAATCATACACCTTCAAACCCATAAGATATTCGAATAGGTGACTGTTGCAAGAATTGGGATAACTTATTTATTTTAAAAGCAATTACTACCACTTTTTACAGTTGACTACATAATATAGCTCCTTTCTGAAATAGTAATCAGAAAGCTTGTGTTGCCACAAATATTTTTATAATTTAATCCGCTTTGTGACAACATTTTTTGTCATGTTTCCGACTTGCGCGCACAGTTTAAAACATTCTGTTTCATAATTTAATTCCATACTTAATATATAGCTTTTTTAACATTTTGGAAAACTACTGTGAACCTAAAATTCAAAAATTTCATGTTAAATTTTATTTTATTTAGAGTTAAGTTTATAAAATGTATTTATGAACAAAATTTTAATGTTTTCGTCCATAAAATTTTTCAATATTGAAATATTCATCAGATTGTTGGTTCAGTTAGAAAAAGTGCCCATATAAAGAATTCCATCCAATTTCAAGTATGTACCATTAGCCATTTTTAAACTGTGCGCGCAAGGTGGAAACATGATGGCGAAATGATTTTGTCACAGAGAGGATTAAAGTATACAAAAAATATTTGTGGCAACACAACTTTCTGGATGGCTATTTCCAGAAAGCAGCCATATTATATAGTCAGTTGTAAAAAATTGGAAGTAATTGCCTATTAAAATAAATAAATTATTCCTATTCTTGCAATAGTCACATATTCGAAGATCATGAGGGGCTTAAGGTGTATGAGTCCCCTTAAGCTCATTTACTCGTTTTTTAAAATTCAAAATCGCTTATTAATAGAGCGTGGGCTTTGAAAACAGTAAAAGAGTATGTTCGACTTAAGCATTTGAAATAACAAACAGCTCCAAGTAGACTGTTCGTTAAAATTAGAAACAAGTTAAAAATAGTTTTCCGCTGTTTTTGCTTCCTTGTACTAAATAAAGGAAGTATTGTAATCACGAAAAATTCCGGCTACCGTATTGGAACGAAAATATCCATTTTGACAGTTATCGAATACAATTTAACGATGTTTTTGCGTGACATTTGTTCGTAAGG